AGTCAGAACTCAGCCGACCCAGGACTGCTTTTGACCCAGGCCTTCTCATTCTCCACGGGGACTGACACTTTGCACCAGCTGGGCACTGGAGAGACATCATGGGAGAGGCAGGCTTGTCATTTTAGGAAGAAGCAAGCAAACTAGGCTTTGAAGGAAATGTCATACTTCAGTTGGTGCTGGCCTGCTGGGAAGCTGGAGTGCCTAGGACCCAGGGGACAGAGGACAGCAGAGGGCTGCATTGGGTGAGACCTGGTGGTGGAAGGCGAGCGTCAGACCGCACAGAGGGGAAAGGCTACCTAAGGGACAGATGCAGTGTCGTGGCTGCAACAGTTGCACCTCATCCTACAGCGTGGTTTTTGGGGTTTTGACTGGCAAGGGGAGAAGAGGTGTGCGAGATTGGCACTCCTGTAGATGCTGGGCAGCGTGGAGGACAGCGACAGCGGCTCAGGGAGTGGTAGAGCTTGAGGAGCAAGGGCAGGGAAGGAAAGGCAGGCTGGTGCGCAAGGCTTCAGTGTGGTGATCCTGTTTGCAGGTTGCGTGATTAGAGAATGCACCGCACCTCTAACGGTACTGAAGCTGGGTTGAGGTAACGGGGTGAACACCCACGGGAGAGGTCCAGCCTGTGGCCTGAAGTGGTAAAGAATTTATGGAATCTGTATGTGTGGGGGCTGATCCTTGTCAAGTAGCATATAGGAGGGAGGTCCTGTTGCACAATGTGAAGGAATTTCAGTCATATAAAATGAAAAACATTGGGGGGAAAAGTCTGAATTTGCCCTTTGGGATGAAACCTAACACTTCAGGCTTAAAACCCTGAAGGGAAGAGTTTGGAATGTGGACAGGAAGAGTGGAGGACCTGAAGTTTCCCCTGCCTGAGGGTGGGAGGAAAAGGGAGCTGACAGGGAGGCCTGCACCGGCCTGCAGGGCTGCCTGAGTCACGGGAGGCCAGCCGCTGGCCTGGTCAGGTGGCAGTGGTGGGACGGCCTCGTCATGCGTTGCACTGGATAGAAGGGTAGCTTCAGTGAGGCTGAGGTAGGTAGTGCTGCTTCTGCAGCAAGGAGGGGGCCACCTGCTTGCCCAGAAGCACACAGCGCCTCCGTGAGAAAGCCTGAATTCGCCAGTAAGCATGGTTTTAGGGGAGTTTTGAGATGAGAGACTTTGACAGTAAAGGGCTTGGGGTAGATTCCAGACGAGCTTACGTGGCAGATGAGGAGCCCTGAGAGCGGTGCACAGGAGTCGCGAGCCAGCGAGGACCCATCGTGACACGTCCTGTGACGCCAAGGGTGAGCACTGGCTTGGCCAAAGCACTGTTCTCAGTGGGTTTGCTGCCAGAGACTCTTCTGTTCCTCTCTCCTCCAAGGACTGCAGGTTTTCTAAGATTTTGATTATCAACTCTTAAGCTTTTAATGGAAGTATTAATTACATTCAGTGCAGTGTCCCCACCTCCAGTATGATGTTTGCCTGTTCACTTCCCATTTTTTATTACGCACAGACGCAGGATGTTGCCAATCAGCCTAGGGCCGGGGCCTGAAGCGTGTACAGTCCAGCTGACAAGAGGGATGCGTAATGCTGTAATCAGCCTGTTTACCCTGTCGGGGGCTTCTCAGATGCACACCCCTTTTAGCCCATAGATGCAGAGTAGCTTGCAGGGTTGTGCAGACAGAGCACTCCAGTGAAGTCAGCAGGCACAGTTAAAGCAAGAGGAGGCCAGGAAGAGTAGGGCTGTGGTTGGCCTTAGGCTTAGCAGGGGTTTTTTTGTTGTTGTTTTTGTTTTTTTGCGGAACCGGGAATTGAACTCAGGCCCTTGCGCTTGCCAGGCAAGAGCTTATTTTACTGAGCTGTCTCTCCAGCCCCAGCAGTTTGTTTTTTAAGAGTATACATTTAGGGTATAACATATGGTTCCTGTAGGCAAGCAGGTTAATATCGCTATCATTTCCTGTGCCACTTTCCTCCCTGCATTTGTGTATGCCAAGGACAGTCTTAACAAAAGCCCTCAGCACGGTGCACTGGTCACTGTGGTCTGGCGTTCACATTGGGTTTCGAGGAGTGCTCATCCTGCACAATCTGCAGCTTTGAATCCTTGGATCCAGATTTCCACACGTCCCCTTCCCACCTGTCACAACTCTTTCATTCATCTTGTGTGTTTAGCTTTTAAAAAAATACTCTACATGTAAGCAAATCGTGCAGTATAGGTTTCCTGCCTCTGGGTTATTTCACTCACTGCGTATGACCTCCAGTTTCATCCGTTTTGTAGAGGTTAGCAAGATCTTTTTGAAGGGTGTGCACCGTCCCATCGTGTGAGCGCGTGTCACAGGGTCTTGGACCTCTCGTCCATGTGGGTGGCTTCTCACCTGGCTGCTGTGAGCAGTGCGGCAGTGCACAAGGGAGAACAGGGGTCGCTGAGAGGTGGGGACGTCATTTCTGTGTTGTGTGCCCTGCTGAGGGCTGGTTAGGTCACATGGAAGATCTGTGTTCAATTCCGTTAGAAATTTCAGCTTGTATTTCCAACAACAGCATACAAAGATCCTCTTGCCAACACTCTTATCTCTTGAATTTTGATGATAGCCATCCTCACAGATGTGAAGTGATGCCTCGCTGTGATTTTGATTTATGTCCCTGATGACGAGTGACACAGGCGCTGGCGTGTCTCTGTTGGAGAAAGCACCTATTGTCGTGTTCTTAAAACTGTCCTTTTTGTTATGGTTGGTTCTCAGGAGTTGAGTGTGGAGAGGTGAGATCGCATTAGCTCTTCATAATAATAATGATTCATAACAAATTGTTAAATTAGTTTATGTGAGTGGATGTGTAGTGATACTCCTCCCACTTCGAGCTCAGTTCTGCGTAGGCTGCAGCCTGCAAGCCGCACTGCCCGTACTCCTGCAGGTACGGGGAGACTCGGCCATCAGAGTGCTGGGCAGGAAGGGCAGCAAAGCTGGACGGTGCTGTCATGCTGCTGCTTCTAAGTTGGAGAGTGATGTGGTGACATTTTCCCACGTCTATCTTTTCCTTTTTGTGAGACAGGGTCCTCCTTGTGGGGTTCAGGCTGCCCAGGAACTCACCCAGTTCAGATTGACCAGCAGTCCTGTGCTAGCCTCGGGATGCTGGATTACAGGTATGGGCCCCATGTCCTGCTGAGTGCCTTACCTCCTAGACGTACTGGAAACTTAGGGGGTGGGGGTGGGGTGAAAAGGAAGCAGAGCAGTCACGACTTGAAAACTGCTGAAGTTGCTACCAGGGAGTGTATTCTGCTGTTTGGTTTACTTGTATAATATAATAAAAGTTTCCCCTAAGAAATTTTAAAAGACGGTTGGAGCTGTAAATCAGTGGGCGAGCGACAGCCAGTCGTACTTTTGAGCCCAGTAGCTAGCCTCAAGCTATCAGGCAGCACTTACTTGCATTTACCTGAGCTCTTTCTTTTTCTGGTAAGCAAAAAGGATTTCCTACAAGGAACTGAGTACCTCTGTTTAGTCCTGTTGCTCAGGCTTGAGGCCGAGTCTTCCAGAGTGGTTGTCAGCACAGCACCATGACCATGGCCTGCTAGGGTGAACGGCTCCTTGGGAGGCTGCTGGGGAGGCAGCACCGTTCTCAGTGCCTGCTCCGGGGAGCACCCGCGACCTGACCTGGTGAGCGGGAGCTGTAGCCACAGCTCTGGGCTCTGGGCCGTGCAGGCAAAGAGGTCGTCCACGACCATGCGCCACCGTGCTCCTGCAGCGAGCCCTGAGCCATCTCCAGAAGCCTGACTGCAAGTTTATAGCTTTCTGTGCTGTGCCAGCGGGCTAGCAAGAAGCGGGGACAGATCCTGAGCCGGCCAGTCCTCCACACTGTGCAAACCACGGTTCCCACTACAAGTGCCGTCTCCCCCACCCCATCCTCATAGCTCATATTCCCCCCACTGCCTGTCCCCCTCTCTTCCCCTCCCCCCCTCCCTCCCGCTCTCTCCCTCTCACCTCTTTCCCTCCCGCACTTTTCGGGGCTCCTGGGGGTTGCACTTGGGAACATGGTAGGCCAAGTGTTTCACTGCTCTACTGCTGAGCTGTGTCTAAGCTGCCTAGCCTGGCCTTGAACTTGTGGTCCACCCAGCCCATCCCCTGAACAACTAGGATTGCAGGCATGTGAAACTGCACCGGCTGACTCTAGCTATCTTCAGAACAGTTCTCTTCCTATCAGAAAACCTTATCAGGTTCTTTCAGGCTTTATTTTTCTTTCTATCTCCTTTCTTTGCTTCCTGTACATGTGTATATAACATGTCTGTGTCTGTCTCTGGAATCGTCTTGGACTTGAACCACTGTGTAGGTTGAGTTCTAGTATATAAAATGCTTTATGCTGTGCGACACTGTGTGAGCTGACCTCACTACTGGAATGGACTGTAAGGGACAGACGTAAAGCCAGTGAATTTCTGTGTATTCCCTTCTTTGATCTTTGATACATAACTCCACGCAGAGCAGAGTAAGCTGATGGGCCTTGCATGGGTGCAGCTGTAGAGTGTGCCATTCCTGTAGCAAGCTTATGCACTTAAGTACCTCACAGAATTGTGGTAAGGATCCCACGTGCTCCTGAACAAACGAATTCGTAATGTGCTGCATGTGTTGAGAGATGGTACTTCTGGTTCCCATAAAGATCTTCAGATAGGGCTGCAGTCGGCCTCTGAATTAATTGGGAGCTGGATCATTGTGTGGAGCTTGCACTGAAACTGTAACTCCTTGTTCCTTAAACTCACCCCATACTTCCTGCTTCTGCAGTTGGCCACCTGCTCCTCAGACTCAGAAGTTTCCAGCGCAGGTTCCCTTTGCTCTGTCCGTGTCCCCTGCCCTGCCGGCTGAGTGTCCCTGGCTGGCACAGTCGCTAGGCCGAGCCGTAGGAGCACAGGCCTGTGTGTACCGATGGGAAAGCAGCATAGAGCTTGGTGTCTTCCATGGGAAAGTACATGGAATTACAACTCAGTGGCATGACTTTCATCTTTTTAATGCATACAAATGTTTTATTCATGCTGTTTTGTGTTACAGGTGCTTGCTGAGCGTGCACCCAGGCACGTATCTGTGTGCGTAGAAAAACCCAGGAAGGCTGAGCAGCGGCATCTCCACCGGGTCATCTTTGCTTGCTGAGATAACAGGTGACGCTGACTCTCTGCCTTTGTTTGGCTCCATTTGCAAAATTGTATTTTCTACAGAAACCTGTATTATTTATTTAGAGGGAACTAATATTTTTATAAAACCTATTCTTCAGATTCTTACAGTATACTACCCATGAAAGAAAGTAGCTTAATCTGATATTCCTAAAGTCAAATTAGAAAAAGAGAGGGGTGGGTGGAGACAGTGAAAGTGAAAAGGAAACAACGGGACAAAAAGGAAGGAAAAAGAGGAGGGAGGAAGCCCGCTAATAGCAGTGGCCCAGTGGTGGGCAGTGGCAGTTCTCTTACAATGTTTGTTTTAAAGATTTTACAGTGAGGCTGTGTTGATTCTTAGAACAAAGAAAAAATTGTTTCAAGGTCCCTTTTTTTTTTTTTAAAGACAGGTTCTTGCCATGTAGTTGAGTCTGGCCTTGAACTCATGGCGAGCCTCTCGCCTTTGCCTCCTGAGTGCAGGGATGGCAGATGTGCGCCGCCCTGCCTAGCCTGAATTTGGCATTTTCCTAACTTTCTGAGCCCCATAGCACTCAGTAGATACTTGATAAATTGAAATGGTATTTTCAAGGGCAGCCTTGACCTTGATGATGGCTGTCCTTGTTCATTTCCCCTTTTCTCTTCCAGTTTTCATTTTTAAGAACAAGTTAGATTTCAAAAAAGTTATTTTATAGCAATAAAAATGCATTTCATGTGAGGAACTTAGAGGGTCATCGGCCTGCTGACCTCATTCAGTGGCCGGGACTTCTGCACACCTTTATCTCTTGCCTGTTTCTTTAACTGACTATGTACACACATACCCACGATATGAATGTTTAAATTCAAACAGTAGACTCCAAAACTATTCTTAGTCCATCCTTGTTCCCAGAGCATTTGTGTCTGGTGCCATATTTCTTCCTAGTCAGAGAAAATAAGATTCTTTAACCCAGATTGGAAACTGCCCTGGACGGGCTCCTGGGAGCCCTGCAGCAACAGTTCTGCTGCCTTAGAGGGGCCCGCAGGGGGCATTGGTGTGGCACAACCCAGCGGGCACCCTGTGCAGCCCAAAGGGACAGCACTCATCGGAGGGGCCGGGAGGGGGCTGGGTCCCGATTTGACCACATTTCAGCCTTTGGACAGAAGAAGGCAACTGGGAAGCCTTCCTTCCGAGTCACAGCCCTGAAAGCAGGTGGCACCGAGCCCGTCCAGCGCCTCTAGTCCTGGATCACCCGGCCTCAGCCTAGGAAGAGCTGGTTGTAGATCTCCCTGTCCTGACTTCACAAGGGGTCCACCTTAGGTGTTAGGTGGTATTTATGTTGTGGAGTGTTAACGGATTCTGAAGCCAAGGACGGTCTCGTACTAGAGAGGAGATGGTGTGAAACAGAGAGCATGATGTGGTCTGAATGTGGAAAGAGGAGACAAAGGTGTCCTCCTGGGCGCGCCCACCGTCATGCGTGGTGCCCCAGAATGCCCGTTAGGCTGCACGCAGGTCAGCCTCTTCACCGAGTTATCGCCATCTAGAGAATTCAGGGTCTGACGGTAGCAGAGGATGCTCCCAGGGCACTCGCCATTTGACACATACTGTAGAAAGCCTCTCGGTGTTCCGCATCATCCCAGGTCCCCGCCCTCGCTGGCAGTGCTTCTGGTGAGGAGGCTCCTCTGTTGCCTGTGTTGGCCTCGCTTTCCAAGTTGCCTTTGCTTCTCTGACCACCTTCATTTTAACTTGCAGTGCTGTCCCCCAGAACTCCTTCTCTTCCTTCTAATCAGTTATAATTTCTCAGAAATGGAAAACACAGTAATCCACGTGGTAGTAAATGGGAAATCTGGTCGTCTTTCATTCCCGATGAGGAAATACAGTTGCAGGTGGATTAACCAAAATCCCCCGAGTATGAGTTTTTCATTCCCTAATTCCCTGACATGGGGTGATTTCATTGAAGAGATTGATTTAATCTCTTGCAGTTGGTGGATAAACTATCTGCTCAGTTTCAAAGCAGAATTTGTCCACTGCCTGGTCGGCTGTCAGATTGGGTAGTTGATCCCTTGCTGATGCCATTTATGTAGGATTTGTGGTTTTCTTAAAATGGGATTGCTGCATTGAGGCACTTCTGGGTCGCTGCGGTCTGTACACCACTGTATGTGCGCTCTGTGACCTGACACGACAAAGGCATGGGGTCGCCTGAGCAGGGTTTCGTTAAGTGTGATGCTGCCTGCTGCCTGCTGCCTGGTCAGGGTTCCTGCAAACAGCAGGAATTATGGGACATGACTCACGCTACAGTTAAAACTGGAGGGAAGATTTTGAAAGGCACAATAAAATTTAGAGATGAACTTTCTAATTTTATGTACAAAGATTGCTTTCATGTGGCTGGTGGTAAAATGTGAAAGTAAATTATTTGTTTACTTGGAATAGTTCATTTTAATCAGTGTTTAATTATTTTTCATGTTTCAGGGATATCAAGCATATGTACTTGCTGCTCTCTGCTTCTAAATACACTCAGAACAAGAGAAATTGGAACTAATTTTTAGACTGTGCATACTTTCTGAACATGATGCATTTCAAAAGTGGGCTCGAGTTAACTGAATTGCAAAACATGACAGTGCCTGAGGACGATAACGTGAGCAACGACTCAAACGATTTCACTGAGGTGGAAAACGGGCAGATAAATAGGTGAGTATTTTTCCACTAATGCTTTCTATCCAGTGAAAGAAATAGCTCTAAAAATTTATTCTGGTTTCCGTTATTCTTGTGAATTATTCATTACTAAAGTTATGCTTCATTTGAAGATGCGATTTGAATTTCTTATGTGACATCTGTTGGGCATGGTGTGCCATAGCAGATGAAGCAGTCAGGAAAGTAATTTATTCATCTTTTCAAATCATTCAATTGAGTCTAATAAAAATGTATAGATACATTGGACCCCGACCAGTATAAACGTTTCAAAGCTCTGTGCTTATGAATTAGACAAACTGTTCGAATTTTAGTTTAGCTCATATCCGAATGTGTACTACAGTCATAGGTACATGTTTTAATCAAGAAATGGTCAAAGTTGCATTTGCCAATAATCCAGTATTAAAGCTACAAACAAATAGTTTGTCGTTGTGAGCAGCCATTCGTAGTGTGGATTTTACGTAACAACAGTTGTGTTCAGACGGCTCTGTGAGTGATTACAGTAGAACAGTAGCCTAAGCAGAAGCAGGGAAGGAGTGGAAGCAGGCAGGGTTGAGAGAGGGCTCGGCTTGGTGAGTCCTAGCACTGGGGCCCGAGGCAGGAGGAGTAGGACTAAGGAGTCTGCCAGCCGGGCTGCCAGAGGAGAGCCTGTCTCAAAGAAAAAAGAAAAAAGAAAAAAAAAGCAAAGAAGGAAGGGAGGGAGGGAGGGAGGACGAAAGCAAGGAAGGAAAGAAGGAAGGAAGAGGGGCTGGCTTGAGAGTGCTTGCCGTTAGATGCAACTTTGGTGTGTCCTCGCGACTCTTGGGGCTGTGTTTCCAGCACTGTGAGAGTAAAGCCAGACAAATTTCTTTCAGTTATTTGGGGCATTCTCTAACTTTGTGGTTTTTCAGTGGGCTTATGTGGCTGTTTAGTAGGAAGCTGAGGCTTGGGAGAAGACAGTGGGGTCTCCAGGACTATTTGTAAACACTAGCAGTGCCACACACACAGCAGAGAAAACAGAAGAGACAGCCTAAAGAATGGGAAGCAGATTTGCCAGCTCTCAGAGGATTAATATCTCGAATACATAAAGAACTAAAAATAAAAAGCTGCCCCCCCAGAAGGCCTGATCAAAAAATGGCAAGTTGAAATGACAAGGTATTTCTCTGAAGAACTGAAAAAAAATGTTCAGCATCTTTGGCTGTTTAGAGAAACGCAAATCAGAATGCCACCAAGATTCCATCTTCCCTCAGTGAGCAGCGAGACTTGGGAAACAGCAAATGCGGCTGGGGTTGTGGGGAGGAACGGCTGGTCTGCACTGTGGCTGGCACACTGCCACGCCACCATGGGGAGCAGCGTGGCGCGTCCTCAGACACCTAAGAAGAGCAAGTTCTGCCTGTCCTGGGTATCTTCCTGAAAGCTAGAGGTGTCATACTGGGCGTGGTGGCGCACCCATAATCCCAGCACGGGGAGGCTGAAAATAGGATCACTGTAAGTCTGATTTGCATAGTGAGACCCTCTAGATCTGTACTAAATACAGAAAAAAAAAAGAGCTAGCGTTGTCGTACCACAGTGGCGCCCAGCTCACAGTAGCTGAGTCTGGGGAGGACCTCCATGCAGGTCGGCTGGTGGGTGGGTAAGGAGATGTGTTCTTACACACTCGAAGACTACTTGGTCACAAAGAACGCTAAATTTGAGACATTTGTAGGAGAACGAATTGTGAGCACATAATACTGAGTGAATTAAGACAGTGACAGAAGGTGAAATACTGTGTGCTTTCCCAAGAGTCCTGAAATACAATCAGAAGACTAAAACAGAACCTTGTTAAGAAGTGGAGCGGGCTGGGGAGATAGCTCAAGGGCATAAGCGCCTGCCTGGGCAAGCCTAACGTCCTGAGTTCAATCCCCAGTACCCCCAAAAAACAAAAAACTTTTTGTTGAAAAAGAAAAAAAAAAAGAAGTGGAGCGGAAGGCTGTGGAGAGGAGAAGGATGTCGGGGAGAGGGAAGAGAAGGGGTCGGAACGACCAAGATGTGACACGGACGCTGTGCCGCCCCCAGCCCTAGCGTGAGCTCTGTGCCCTACGCATATACCAGTGCGACACATTGCTGTGACCTGGGAGGGCCGGCAGGAAGTGGGGCAGAGAGCTTGAGAACGAGTCCACGTGCCGGCCAGCGTTGCAGAAGTTGGGTCTGACAGGGTCTGCTCCACACGGCACAGTGTCTGGTCGAGGGCCCTGTCATTCTGATACTCTCGAAAGTTCCTTCTTCCTGCCTTCAGCGAAGGGAAGTCCCACACGCAGACAGCCCCCTCGTTGTCATGCACGTGCTGCCGATGAGCTTAGGTGGCTTTTCTTGTGACTTGGTTCAGGTTTTCTTCCACCAGGTTTTGAGTCACGATGAATAATGCCGACCGTGTCTTGTCACGTGCTTTGCCATCGTGGAGAGTAGGTGTACTGGAAATGGGACCTTTTAACGTTTATAATTAAGGAGGCTAAGGGGAGAAAGAACTTGCCTGTGGGCACAGACACGGGTCTGTCTAAATCCTTGTGTGTGGATTGGAGTACTTGGAATGGCTAAGAGCCAGGCCTTCCTGGGTGCCCTGTCACCCTGTGCTTTGGGCCCCTGCAGGGTGCTGTGGCCCTGCTGACTGGCAGTGACAAGTAGGGCGTCGTGGTTTTATAACAAAACTTCAGTCTCAGTGCAGCGCAGTCTGGAGGGCCTTGAAATGAGTCGCTCGCAACAGAATTCAGACTCGAGTGTGAGAAGCTCCGTTGCTGAGGCTGATGCGACACTGCGGAGGTGCTGCCACTGCAGGGGGTGGGCTGGTGTGCTTTCTCTCCAGATGCTCCCAGAGACTGGCCAGGCCAGCGGCCGGGGTGGAGGGGGCTGTGTGGCGGTGGGCGGCGGTGCCTTTCCTTCCTACCTCATGGTCCCTTCCTCACTGACGTAGCTGGCCAATATTGCTTCCTTACTGGCTCGGGGACAATGAAATTAGGACAGTGTGAGGCTGGTAAAGGTGACCACACATCGGAAAAGCTCTCTGCTGATCTTGCTGGAGGCCGCTGTGGGATGGCCCCTCATGCTGTCGTCGCAGCTCTCTCCCACTTGTGGGGCGAAGGCAGGCTCAGCTGTATGGCTCTGAAGAATCACCCCTCCCCAAAGAATGAGCTTTAAGGGTACTGGTACTTCTGCTGAGGAAGTTGGAGAAACAGAAAAAGTGTTGATTTCCTGTCACCTGGCATCCATAACTCCTGGAGATTCCCCACCAGACGCAATGAAAATCATTTTTTCAGTTTAGTTAAAAATAGAGTAGAACCATTTGGCCCTTGAAATACCTGTCATTAGGTAGGGGCTGCTAGTGGATGGATATAATTTCATTGCTCTGGGAGGTTGAGGCAAGGGGGGGGTCACAAGTTCAAACCCAGCCTGAGCAACTTAGCAAGACCCTGTCTCAAAAAATCAAAAGACCTGGCAGGCTGCGTAGCTCAGGTTGGAGGCCTTGGGTTCTGTTCCACTTGGCCAAAACCCAAAACTCTTACTCCAGTTTGATTGTTTTATTTCATGACCTGATTTGGGGTTCCAAGCCTAGAAATCTGTATGTGGAGATAACACTGAGCCTCTCACCCCGCATCCGCCTGTGGTCTGGGCGCTGACCATTTGCTTAGCCTGCTTTAACTCCCACGGCCGCCTCTCCTGGCTTGTGTGTGTGTGTGTGTGTGTGTGTTGCTCACAGGCACGTAGCTGCTGGTGTGAAACATTCGGCACCTTTGCGGAGATGCGGATGGGAGCTCAGCAGGCCTGGGCCAGGGTCTGACGTCACGGCCCTAGTCGCCTTTCACCTGGCCTGGCTTGACCTTGGAGTGGCCAGCTGTGGGCTCTTCCTCCAGATGAGAGCTCCTGAGAGAGGGTGCGGCCTTAGCCCTCTTGACTCCCCTTTGTGTCTCCTGGCCTGCACAGCGTGGACATTCTGGCGGATTGTTGAGTGGGTAGGCGGTGGGCTCTGTGGCTGTGGATCGCGCCTGCATCAGGCCCTGGTTCCATCCTCCCCATGCAGTGGTGGTCTCTGAGCCTCAGCCCCATCCCTGCAGGTCTGGAATAACAGGGTTGCTGGGCAGTGTGCAACACAGCACTGTTGGTAGGCTAATAGCTCCGGCTCTGCCTTTGGCCACTTCTGCTCAAACCCTGGCATGGCAGTTCAGCATGTAACTTTGGTCAAGTTATTTAATTTCTTTAAAGGAGTATCAGCCTCGTGCAGTTGTTACGAAATTAGAGGAGACGGTCCATGCAAAGTAGTCGGCACTGTATCAGGCAGTGGTGGGCCTTGCGGGGCCGAGTAGGCGTCCATAAACGGCAGTCCTCTCTTTCTTGCTTCTCCACTCCAGGGAGCGCTGATTCTGCATTAGGTTTTGCCCAATTACTGGCTGTTGTACTCTAAATGTGATGAAATATTTTAGCTTGTCCTAAAGTGTGTCTATAAAATCTTCACATATTTTCATATTTGCTGTTCTCAGTCCTATCCACGTATTAACGTTTGTTCCTAAAAGACATCAGGGCATGTCTTGTTGGACTAGATAAATCTGACTGGCTACAATACTGCCGCTGTGCAAAGCTTGTGTCTCTTGTCATACCCCGATTCAACTTTTTTTCGTCTTTGTATGCTGTAAGTCATTTTTGATGGGTTGTGACACTTGGCATTGAACACAGGGCCTTCACACTAAGCTAAAGACCACCAAGCATGGTCCTTTAAAATGTGTTGTGTTGTGCTGAGTTACCCAGGTTGGACTGGAATTTGTGATCTTCCTGCTGTGGCTTTTTAGGGTGCTGGGATTACAGGATACAATACTTGGTCTAAACTTTTGTCACTTCAGAAGACCCTTCAGAAGTTACCCCTCTGTGCCAGGTGTGGTAGTGCACACCTGTAATCCCAGCACTTGGGAGGCTGAGGCAGGAGTATCCCTAGCAGCTTGAGGCTGGCCTGGACTACATAGTGAGTTTAAGGACAGCCTGAATTAGAGTGAGACCTT